GTAGATCTCTATGGGGTGACGTGAGCGACGTTAAAGGCTGCTTGGTCGAAAGGTTACGTTGTGTTGTTTTGTGCACGTTTTCCTCTTTCAATGTTACGTACCAACTTGCTCCAATTTTCACTCCGCTATCTCAATAAAGACAAATTATAAATACAATAGTTATACCTACTTTAGGTTACCAATGTCAGACTTGGACATTGACAAAAGAACACGAAAGAGAACTAACCACCTGTGAGATGAGATGTCTGTGAATAAAACCAGAAGAGATCGAACGAGAAAGGACGTGATCACAAGAACTGTTGGAACAACATCCTCGTCAAAATTATAGAGAAACAAAGAATATAATGGTTCGGCCATCTAATGAGCATGACACCAACGATGCCAGCAGCAAAAACGTACAACCCGAAAATCCAAACACCAAGAGGCAGGGGAAGACCTAGAAGATCATGGATCGAAGGAGTCACTGACACACTGAGACTGCGTAACATCACGGGGGTAGGCAGAAAAGCCACATTTCTCCCAGATTTACGGTATTTATCATGGAATCAAGGCCGAAAGGTTGCGATATCCACAATACCGAGCCTAAGGGTTAATAACTCATGGCTTCTGGAAACTAAAACAAACAAACAACATTCCATTATATCTCCTGGTTCAAAATTGTGGCTGTAGTGCCATTTTTAATATTTAAAGCGACCGAGCACGCCCTGGCTCTGTTGCCGATCGTTTGATTCTCTGCGACGCCTAGCGGCATTAAGGGATATTGACAAAAGAAGAACAAGTGTACGTGTATTGTTAATATACGTTTACATATTGCTTCGGGTACAGCAGCCCCCACAACATCCTATGTCTGGAGAAGGCCGTAGCAGCGCATTAGAAAGGATTCTAGCCTAAGGCGCCCTCACTAAAACTATATATGGGTGTGGACACATCCCCCATCTGCCTTACAAGTGTTCTAGGTAAAATTAAAATGTGGGTGGGGTCAAAGGGCTTCAGCCGCCACTGTAAATATTTTGGACCTGTTCACGTTTCCCGGCCGATCTACACACTTTCTCAGTCTGATCTGGGTCAGAGAGGTGTCACGTTGTACTGCTTTCTTCGAAAAGTGTCTCGTGCGACCTAAATTGAGGTTGTGGGGAAGGTGGGTTAGGGCCAGTTTTACATGTTCTGTGGTCGTCGAAAGCTGTTGTGTAGTTTAGAACACGCGACATCGGCGCTGAGGTAATTGGAGGGAAGACAACGTGACACCCCTCCAACGTAGAAGAGTCTGAGAAAGAATGAATGAAAGGTCAGGTTGTGGGTAGATAGGCGTGGAAACGTGAACAGGACCTTAATTTTTGTGTGGGGATGGGAGAGATTGAAGAGGATCACAGCCTTGTCTTGGGAAGTGCAAATGCAGCATGAAAAACTTGTTCTGGCAGAGAAGACTGGGTCTTGGTTAGCAGCTGGTCTTGGAGGGAAGTTCCACTAGGCGCAGTCTATTCTGGTAAGCTTGTGCAGCATGCTCTGTTCCATAGGTATTAATATATTTCCTTTAGAGTGGCTCCATCTGATACAGCACGCAGCGTTTCGCAAAATCACCTTTTTTGTTCCACTGGCCCTTCCATTGCCTTCTAACCTGTCAATATTGTTAAAGATGTCAGGAGTGCTAAGCATGCGAAACAGTACAGGCAAACACGATAGCGTGATAGTGGCAGTTTAAAGACGGACGCGTCACTTTTGCTATGCGCTAAAGAGTAGCAGCGTTCTGTTATTTATTGTTTTTAAGGGGGTGAAGCCAGTTAGAAAATCATCAATGAAGGGCCAGTATGACGATGCTTGCTTGTCAATCCAGAAAGTCTACGAATGAAGTAAGTTTCAAAACGGCGTAAATTCTGGAACATTCTATTCACTACTGTGTCAATCTAAAACTGGTTGTTGGATGATAAATGTCTGTGTGGAAACAATGAAGGCGTGAGTGAGGGAAGTTAAACCCCACACTGAGTGATTAGCACCCGGCGATCCAAAGTTTCTTATCAGCTGAAAGGGTATATATTAGAGCAGGTTATCAAACTGGGTGCAGCAGCAATAATAAAGCATTTTTCAAAATCTGCTTGAGATCAGCGAAGACAGCAGTTTAAAACAGAAATACCATGTAGGAAGCTAAAAAGAGTTCTGGATGCAGGTGTATTTAGGAAACAATGCTATTGGCAAGGCTACAGTGCATTCTCAACGTAAAAAAAAAACTTACAGGTGCAACCTTTAAGTGATTTGAGGGTACAATTAACTAAACTTCCCATAAACATAAAGAAAATAAAACATTCATCTGAACAGTTTTATTAATCACATTAAAAGCGACCTTGAACATTAAATTTGCAGTTTTTTCTTCTTTTTTTCCTAAGTATTCAAACAGCTTCAGGGTAGGTGTGCCACAAAAAAGTTTTTGCCCGACAAGAGTGCTGCGGCAAAAAACGAAAAAAGTATTAGGGTCCCTGTCTGGTAAGAAATAACACGAAGTCCAGAGTAGGGGCTATCCAAGGCAGTCTTCAATATAGGCAAAGTAGCAGTTCCGGTGATTAAGTCGTGGACTATCTCTCAGTCCTTAAGAAAGAGAATTGGGGCTTTTGAGCTGAAATGCTATAGAAAGATTCTCAGAATATCTTGGACAAAGAAGATGAGAAATATTGACATCTTAAAAGATCTGAACATTAAAGAAGATTGTGGCTAATAAACACCATCCTTTCTCAAAAGCTGAAATATTTTGGTCATATCAAGCGCCACGACGGATTGGAGACAATTATAGCAGAAGGCTTGGTACCTGGAAGGAGGGCCAGGGGCCGACCGACACGAAGATGTGCACAGGATTTAAGTAACTCATTGAGTGTGAAAGTGCATGAGGCGGGAGAACTGGCGAGAGACCGAGTTTCTTTCAGGCAGACTGTGATGAGAGCGATGTTCTGCAAAGGACCTGCTACATGACAATGAGCAGTTCCGGTCAGCTGGAATAGGGTAAAACATGGTGTAATTTTTCTGACTGAAACTGAATAGTGAAAACTGCAATTTTATATACGTTTCTAGTTAGCTTGCTTTCTATTTACATTTTCTATATAGGCTGTTGTGAAGTATTACGTGTTGCTAACTATGCTTGCAAAGTGTTCAGTGCCTCAAATTATCGAAGTATGATAATTTTAGTGGATACGTGAGTGTTTAAATTTTCTTCAGACGCTGGATTAAGAGAAAGATGGCTAAAATTGGGCTTCAGCATATTGAAGGCAGCCTTGAGTTATCCAGTTTAAGGTATATGCAATATATTGAAGAAACACCTAGATGTTCCCGCCCATGGTGTTATAATCCACCCCGGACCGTCAAGTTAACCTGTGAACACTTTTGGTTTTAAGAAACCCTCTATCCGTGTGTTGATAGCACCTCACAAGATAGACATTTTATATCTGTCGCGCAACTTATTTTTTAATTAAATGCATATTCGCTTCGATACTTTTATTATTCTTGATGTTTAAAAGAGGTTCACATTTTAACTTCTTTAGATGCAGTTTTTTGTTTGAAGCTCGTGTGCCTGGGGTTAGACCCTCTCCCATGTAACAAACAAGACTAAATTTCAGAAGTGAATAAACAACCAGAATTTTCCGTTAGTGAATGTGAAGAAGAAAGCCATACTGCAGGTAATCGTTAAAACACCAGGGAATATGAGGTAGATTACTACACAAATATGAGGATAACATTACTAGACGGACAAAGGAAAAGCAGTGTACAGCAAGCCGTGATTGTGGAGAAGACATCTTATTTTGTATGCCTGAAATAGATTAGCTATATCCGCAATGTTTCTAGTATGAACCACGCATTCGTTTGTAATTCCCTCAGCGATCCCCAAAAGTTTGGCTTCAACCGGTGTTTCTCTTGGCCAGAAGTTTTGCAGTGACTTGTTTTATTCGGGAGTCTTGGAGTACGTGATGTGTTAGCTGCCAATCCACATGTGTACATGTGGCTGTGAAGCGACTGTGCCCTGTTCTAAGGTGTAAAGTAATGATTTGCACTGGTCTCCCCATAATAGGATCATCTTGTCCCAGTTTTGATGGCCCTCTGATGATTGATTTAATTATTCAAGAAGACCACTGGTTGTCCATCTTTCTCAAAATCATTAGACAAGACTGAGCATTTTGAAAACAAACATGCTAAGAGGAGCTGATGGAGTTTTTGTCAAGATCAATAAGCAGACTAAATTCTGAAACACAGAAAATACCACATACAGTTGACAGAGGTTCAACCTCTAACTGCTTAAGATTGAATCTTTTCATATTTGCAGTCACTTTGAACATTGCATGATAAGAAACTGTCCCCAACGAACAAAAAACACCCATCTCATTCCTGGGAATTCAAAACCAGGTCTAGAAAATTAGAGCAATCTAAGCACTTAAGAATTTACAGCAAGGCTCAACAAGGTTTACTCAGGGGCAAACATTTTGAAAATGGGGATCGTCACAGGCCACAAGCCCTAGCATAGACTGCCCATTTAAAGGAATACAACTGGCAATGATCCACCGCCACTGCATGCTGCCCCGCTGTACAGCATTACAAATGACAAACTTGAAATAACTTTAAACAACCTTTATTTAATAATCCTTTCAGAAAAGCAGTGAACACACTGTCATACCCATCTGTAAAACTTTAAAATGCACACATGATACAAACACACAAATATGGGTATACAATACTTTAAAACTATAAAAGTCAAAATAGATGACAGTATTCAATTTACAAATTGAGGACAGTCAGTAAAGCATTACCTAAAATTACATTAAAAACCCTACAGTCTGATTCAGACCATAAGAAAGGCTAGCCATTGGTGATATACTAAAGGTGTTTCATGCAGCAAAGACCAAGAGTGTAAAATGTAAAGTTTTCATCTGTCTGATTGCCAAGTTTATTTTAATGGAACTAAAAACCTGTTTAAAAAAAATCAGTCTAAAGAGTGAATGGATACAACTATTACAAACAGGTCTACAAGTCTATACTCCTTGACGCAAGAGCTCTTCTGTGGGCAGGGGTGCAATTTTGGCCACCTCGTGAAAAATTCTGTAGAAAGAAACAATAAACACACATTAGGGTAACATAACTTACAATTTAGTATCAGGTAATCGCATCGAGAACAACCAAAATAATAAATTACAAACATTCATTAACTGGAATCTGCACAGAAAAGACACCATTATAATGCATGATAGAATCACTAATGTTGAACTTTGGGGGAAAGAATTAAACAAGTTCAAGTAGATCAAAAAGGTGAAAAAAAAGATGCTGTTGGTTAGGAAAAACGTTGGGGGGGGGGGGGTAAGCGGGGTGGACCTGAAAATAAAGTAACTAGAACATTTTTGCACAGGAACCCACAGAGGCATAGAAATAAAAGCAGACCAAAAATCACAAACGGAAGGGAGCCAGAAAGGGTGAGGACATAAGGTGAGCTGCATTAAATAGCAAGAGATAGAAAGACTGCCTGAGTTGAATTAGGGTCTATGCTCTACTGGGGGACAGAAGGCAGAAAAAGAAGAATCACAGCTCCAACTTCATTAGCAAAAAATAGTTGCTCCATTCCTGTGTTAAAGAAAGGCACAGAATTTTCACCAATCTTCCTTGTGAAAAAAAAAAAACAAAAAAATTGACAAACTGCAGTCTTAGCAAATCCAACAGTACACACACACACACATTAAATGCACTAAGCAGCAGTCAGAAATGCCAAAACAAATAAACACTAGAAATGCATTTCACCATCGATGGAAGCAGCCCTTACAACAGATAAGTATTTGCACACCAATTCATCACATAATGCACCACCAGTTCTCTGGCAACAGGCCACTCAACCATATAGTTTTGATATGGTGTCAATGACAGTTTAACGGGGCTTGCCTGTTAAGACAGGTCCCGGTTAAATTCCTAGAAGCAGCAGCATTGTTTCAAACAAGTATTTCTGAGGCTGACCCAGAATTGTATGGGTAGAAAAAGTGATACTTGGGAAGCAGCCGCCACACCTCAAATGCAGTGATTTAGAATATGTCAAGGCGGTACTACCAAAGCATATAAACAATATATACTGTTATGAAAGACACAATGTCTAGTTTTGTTCACTTTTGTGTGTGCAGGATTAAGCGGGTCTTTCTCCATTCTGTCTTGAATGAACAAACAGTTGACATTCCAACTTGCCACTAAGATGCAGTGCACAGGATATGAACAAGATGTGAATGTGCATATGCTCAGAATGTTTACATGAACCATTGTCCACTGTCACAAACCTGACCCCCCCCCCCCCCCCCCCTCCCGAGAGCTGCTCACTTCTGCCTACATACAGTGGCAGTTCTGCAAAAGTTTCAACAAAAGCTGCAGATCATGCCAGCATTAACTTCAAACGTCAATTCCACATTGTCACTTCACTTGGTCTTCTTTTATACCGCACCGTTGCCAGATTGTAGCCCAGTGCTGTGTATAGTTTTGTTGTCTTGTGCTTCTTGAGTGCTAGTTTTTCTCATCTTTTTTTTTTGCAGAATTACACTAGACTTTTTCTTTCCAGTCAGATGTTCTGCCACAGAAGGTTTTAACGGTCTGGCAACATTCTTACTAGCTGACTTAATCCCATTTGTCTTCCAAAGTAATTTGGGGATGATTTCATTTCAACCATCTTGCTAATCCTGGTCCATTTGATGTTTATATGAGAATGTCTCACTTCTGTAGACTGACTGACTGATGTTGTAACAGTTTAACAAAAGCTGCATATCCTGCCAACAATACTTCAAACGCCAAATACTAGCTCCTAGAAAGGTATGAGCAGATTCTTTTTCAGCATTAACAGCCCTTGAGCTGCATCATACAATTGGTTCACTTCAATTCCTCTAAGCGATTAGCCATCTCTCTCTCTCTCTCAAGTTCAAATGTCTGAGGATATTACCTCTCCACCATATTCTTGGTCAGCCTTGCTGGCTACTGTCATTGAGCTGTGTGTGCAGTTTTTGTCTATTTGCCATTCTCTTTTCATGCCATAACCATCTTCTTTTTCGTCTCTTCCACCTTGTACCTCAGCGAAGTGTCTGGGGAAGATGTAACATTCATTCATCAGCTCTGTCGAGATTGATGTTCGTTTCTGTAGGCCGTTCTTAATGCCATCGCTACATTTTTTTTAAAATCCCTGTCAGTGGCGATTTTAACGAATTTCTTGTTGCTCCTCTCCACTGATGGCATTTAACTGAGCAGATGACAAAATATGCCATAAAAATCTAAAGGCACACTGAAAATACTACTTACAGATGGGCATACTTGCTACGGATAGTTGACAACTGAGGTATGGGGCGGGCATGAAGCATCTTGTTCAGCGCTACGACAAGGTCCTTGAAATCATCCAACATGTACCCACTAGACTTTACAACATCACCTTCCTGTGGACAGCAATCACTTTGAATAAAAAAAAAAAAAAAAGATGCAAGAACTGAACAGTAAGCTTCATTTTGGGCAAATCTTGTACCAAAAATCAAGTGCCACCCCTCAGTGGCAAAATAAAAAAAAATTAAAAAATCAACACGCATTTTCTCTTCCTGGCCGTACACTCCAACAAAAATAGCTATGTATACATGAAAAAAAAAAAAAAAAAAACCATGGCAATGAGATGTCTGCATAAAATAAATTCGTAATTCAAAAATTGTGATCAAATACACCAAGAAGTAAAAGGCCCCAATAAATAGTTCCATCTACACCCGGTTTAAATAACTAGGCTGGAAGCCCAGGCCAATTCTTTTAAAATCTGCCTACGCTGATTCTGACCATGCAGCAGGCAAACAGGCCAGCCATGGCATTGCTCTGGCTCCCATTACATTGAATGGTTGAATGAAAATGGTAATCGCTGAATGTCCAAAGTATACTGCATTATTTATTCTTTTCCGCATTCATGTTTTAAACTCCAAGAGGAAAGTCACTCATCCACTCCTGCTTTTGTTCCAGGGTCCCATTAGAAAGGGGTGGGGGGAGAGAAACCAAGGATAGACCCACTGCCTCACCAACAGGCATGTCATAAGACTCAACTAATTAGGGGCTTCCTTCGAAGTCTGGGTCTATCTGCCTCATCTGAGAGGCAAGGAACTAAGAATCTGCATACAAATAAGCACGGATGCACACGCAAAACTCCTAGAACAAAACCAAAGTCCAGAAATGGATGAATAAGCAGGTCCTTTTCCGCCGGCAAAACGCAAACAACATAACATGCACACCACACCCAGGGTATAGATTTGGCTTCTGTGTGCAGATGGTTTCTTGCCTCAGGCAATGCACTCTGACCCTGAAAGAAACAATCCTATCTATGCTGGCCAGGTTCCCAGTACGGCACCTGTTTCTAGGATGACCACAGAGGTGTAGACAGGTTTTGGCCAGTAAGACTCCTGGTCCATATATGCCAGTTTGCCCAGATTCTTCCATCACATACTGGATCCATCAACAGTTTGAGAAACTTACCCAAGCGCCTTCATTCTTCATCTTCTGCGAGATGTACAGTGCCGCAGCTGCCATCTTGGAATCTCGCGCTGACACCAGTTCATTCTCCATAAGCGCCATCTCCAGGATAAAACGAGCCAAGGTCAAGGTGACCATTGACATGCGAGCCACCTGAAGTCAGAACAAAGGAGCAAAAGTTTGCTGGAATGTGAATGCTACTGCAAGCCAAAAAACATTTCTACACACTCCGATCTATATACATCAGTCTTACTCACAGAGCATAATATGGGAAGGTACTGTACTCACAGGGCACCACATTTCCACAAGTGTGAGATGCACTTATTTTCCAAAAATATAGGGACTTCTACAAACAGTAGTAGATTTTTACCAAATGATTTTTTAGAAAATATCCAGTGCACGGCCTCATGTATGAAATTAACTCTTTTTAAATTAAAGTTCTTTTCTCTTGTACTAAGACTGAACCACGTGATGTCAGCACTAAAAAAAAAAAAACACCTTCAAAATTGCCTAGGCAGATGAATGGAACCAATAGCTGAACTCTGGGGACAGTTTTGACACCAGCAGTTAGTGTGAAGAAACAGCTAAAGGGAGAAGTTTGTACCTGCCCTGGGCGAAAAGACCCTGGGATAATGTGAAGACAGATCATTGTCACCGTCATTCAAGAACTGTGGCATTTCAAATGCCACAGATGGAACTGAGGGTGGGGCAATGCCTGAAGACAGTGACTCGTCAGACAAGAGGACAAGCTAAAGGATGATGGTGATGAGTTTTCTGGATTCTGTGATGAAAAAATTGAGTTTCAATACAATAAAAGACTTATAATTAGCCCTCCCCCCCCTCCCTCAAATCAAGGTGCTCCTTATAATTAGAGAAATATGGCACATAACACTGTAGTGGCTCTTGCACTCACTAAAAATACAGTTTATTGTCTAATTCCTGTGCAGAGTTGTACCAGATATAAAATGCTAGCCTCCATAATTCTTTTAATTTAACAATCAAAGAAAGGTAGAGGCCTACATGCTCTGTGCAGAGTGGCAAGCATAGCTACAAAGCTCCGGGGTAGTTTGGAGTGAGTGAACAGTGCAGAGGCGCAAATAGATCATTACGGTCTGAGAAAAATGGCGCTACCAGGGCATCTCACCGACACTCAATGGAAAGGCGAGACAGATATACAATCAGACAGTTAATAATGCCCTCAGAATTAAAACTTCGCTCGCTGCTGAAGCCGGGACGCCTCGAGCGCTGTGATACTGATTCTTAATTAAACATTTAATCAGCCTTCCTTGAATGATGTGATCAATATCACGCCACCTGCTTTTACTTTCCAGGATATTTCCTAATAACCATTCTAGGCTGGGCCAATCCTGTCACTTAAACACTCTGCATCAGACACAGCACCCAAAAATGTACTGACAAAAAGATCTGTGAGCTTAAAAAACAGAATCTATCGTGCTAGTTCATGCAGTGGTCTTTATTCAATTCTTTTGTCAGAAAGTTTATACCAGGAGGCCGGTACCCTTGATAAACGCTATTGTGCAGCCTATATCTCCCCATGCACAATACAGCAGTGTCTTTATTGAGGCTGGAACAGGCCCTGTTAGCAGCATACAACTGACAGAAAACCTGGACATACGTTGGCGAAGTCTTTTGTACCCTGCCCTTAGTGTAGCGAAAAGTAAAAGACCCTTTTTGACGCCTTTAGGCGTATAGGGCTGGACCTATATTTTTTAAATCTAACAACTGGCACAAGATAGGTGGTGGTCAGCATCCCGCCGGCCGCCTTCACTTCCTGGGACAGCACCCGGTACCCACTCAAGGATGGGAGCCCTTGTGTGAATACATATACATTCCTTCTCAAGAAAGGCAATTCAGCAAGTCTTGGGCAGTTAGCGATGACCATCTATCCCCCCTTAACAATTCTGTGTTGTTTCCTGCTAATGATTTCTCACCACACCATGTCACTAAACTGTGCAACAAAGGAGAAACAAACACAAATATTCAACCCCTACCTTTGCATATCTGCGCAGGAATGTGTAAGATATAGGGATCCCCAAGTCAAAATCAACTGTTCTCAACATTTCCATCTCCATTGTGATGAACTGATCGCGGTCAAAGGCATTGTCACAGATGTAAATGAAGTCATCAATCAATGGTGGGCATCTTTCCTGTAGAGTAAACACATAGGGGATTTAAAAAGTTAAGAGATGGATAATCAGCAGTCAGAGAGTGTAAAATCAAGATAACAGACAGTGTGTGCTGCAGATCCACTGCCGCCATCCGTCACTTTACAGAGGGCAACTGAGTGATTGAAATTAAAACAACTATGCTCTTTTCAGAATGCTGTAAACATACTCCAGCACTTACTAGCTTTTTTTTTTGCAATTTATACGCCACTTACGGACCTTTTACATAAAAGTAGTTCTTATGCGCTTTCTCAACAGTACCACCCAGACATCTTGATGAAAGGAATGCCAAGTGGTGGTCTGCAAATCAGCTGCACTTGAATATTGAACACAGCATGTTAAGTCTGCGAACTGAGTTCACAGCCCCTAAGCTATAGACGCCATCATGATCATGTAGCAGGTCCTTTGCAGGACAGATATCATGGTCTGCCTGAAAAAACCCATCTCCCCTTCATGCTATTATTTCTTCCAGTCCACCGCCGCGCCCTTGATATGGCCAAAATATTTCATCTTTTAAGACAACACTGTTTATAAGCCTATCCTTCCTTGATATTCACATAAAAAGTTTTTGTCTAGAGATACAGACTAAAAAAAAAAAAAAAAATGGGTTGTGACAAAAAGATATATTACAAAATGTCTAGATTGCTTGCCTTGAGAAAAGTGAAAGGTTAGATACAACAACCTAGCTGAAAATCATCACTGACCCTTGTGAAAAACAGACTATACAAACGCACACAAATGAATACGGCAACCGTCAGAAGTGCCAACACTAATACTCCAGCACTAGAAATGCAATTCACCGCTAATAAAAGCAGCAGTTACAACAGATCAGTAGTTGCACACACAATCAACAAGGCATCAGTTCTCTGGCATCAATTTTCTGGTTCATGACATGGCTCAAAATTATGGCACATTTTAATGTAAAGTGGTCAAAATGACAAGAATAGGTGCTGAAATGGAAAACATGGATGTCAAAGAAAAACCACACAACAGTGCGGATTTTATAAAGAGAACACACCAGGGACCAAAGAAATTAACTGAGCTCATAAGAATTTTTTTTTTCCAGATAACTGCCGTGGATAAACAAACTTATCCACAACCTAAATTCGCCACATCCGAGATCACCTAAACTGGTCTGCACTGTACTTTAACATCAATAAGAGGCCAGAGATGTCGGTATGGATTCCACACCCTAGATCAAAATGACTGCTCTAGACAGAACAGAACTAAGGAATCAACTGCCTGCCGTAATTGGCGTATAAATGGTAAAAAAAAAGGACGACGGATACAGCAATACCACTCACATCAAACTTTGCGGCAATGAAGACAGCAACCGCACCAACCAACTGCAATACTTCTTTATCCACATTGGCCCGGGACATGAACATGTCCGTCAACTTGACTGCCAGGTAGAGGGTTTCATGGTTGAGCTCAAAATTCTCCTGCACCTCCACCATCCAGTCAACCAAGATGGCTCGCATTTGTGGGGTCACTCTGCCAGCTTCTCCATTCAGATAGGCTGGTATACTGAACATTTTCTAAGAGAAAGAAAAAAGATTTCCAATGCCGTCACTAAAGTAAAAAAAAAAAAAATGAAAATAAGTGGACACTGTTGTCTTACAGGGTCACATAATGGCAGAAAAAAATATAGTTAGTATTGTATGTATCGTATGTGTTGTAAAAACAAAATATATAAAAGCAGTGTTTCCAAAACTTTTCTTGGTCGTGGCACCCGTCTTTAATGAATATTTTCCTATGACACCCTACCCTTGTGTGGTTTCCGGGGTCCCAGTAAAAGTAAGACTGTGTTTTGGTTAAGTTAATTATAAAGCTTTTACAATATTTCGCTGCACTCCCGTGAAGAGGTCGAGGCTGCCGGAGGCGCAAAGTTTGGGAATCACTGTATGAAAGGATAATTTAAACACACACATAAAAATACAATTTAATGCAGTTGATTTTGTATTTCAGTCCAAATGAATCATGTATTAGCTTAATGCTATTCTTTTGTTACTGCATTTCATGAGTTAGTGAAATACACCAGGAAATAAATTGTGCAATCTTTTGTTTCAATATACTGCAGGGAAACGCCGATACAAGTTGTTAAACAAGTAACTTAGCATACACAATTTACAGTCAGTGCCCCTAAATATATAGAAAACCAACATAAACTTTGCACTGGGTCTTGGATTTCCCATGTCCTTAAGATTACACAACACATAATTGCACAGGCTGTTCTCACAGTGACACATTTCTTTGATCATTGTTGCATCCCTAAAATAAAATAAATACAATGGACACAATTTTTTTAAATTTTGATTAGCCAATTAAGTATTATCGCAGTAATGACGCACCCACTTTATTATCCAAAATAAGCATGCCTTTTTCGCATGGATTACCCCCATAATGTGGACAATTTGATGATGTTGCTAAGTAACAATCCATTTACTTTAAACATGCTAAAATATAATTATTTTCCTACCAAGGACATTATTATTAACAGGTTGCATGGCAAATTTAACAACTTACACTGAACAGTTGAGTTACAGATTTTTTTTAAGTTGGGCAAGTCTCAGAGAAGAAGAAAATAATTTTAAAAATTTACACTTACTATAAATCAGCGGTTCTCAACTTATGGGTCATAACCCTGGGGGGGGGGGGGGGGGGGGGGGGGGGGGGGGGGGAAAAACGAGCCTTTCACAGGGGTCACCTAAGACCATTGGAAAAGACAATCAGAGAAGTTTTGAAGTAACAAAATTATGGTCAGGGGGTCACCACAACAAGAGGAACTGTATTAAAGGGTCGCAGCATTAGGAAGGTTGAGAACTACTATAAATAAACATAAATGAGACAGACACTAAACATCTTAATTTATTGACATAAATACTACAATGTTGATAGGTACTTTCTGAAGAAAAAAGAGACCGCAAGGAAACTAGCCAATCAAGTTCCATGACAATGATGACTGCACCAATCAGCTGCAAAATCTCTTCACGTCAAAGAAAGGGAATTTTAATAAAAAGAAGAAGGAAGGGACTTGAAACATCATAAAACTGGCAACAACAGAATGCTGCAGCTAGATCACAGTAACAGTACCTCTCTGCCCTTATAGTAGTCAAATATGTGCTGAGCATAGATGCCAACATTGAAGACATCTGTATAGTTCTCCAAATCAACTGCCAACAGACTCTGATCAACCTCCTGGCACTCAATACTTTCTTCAGCTTTGGAGTCATTGTCCTCCTGACAGTAAAAAAAAAAAGGTTATAACAACTGTGTTAACTCAGTACAAGACATACTACTTTAAAGTGTTGCAACCCAAGGAGTTGTTACTTTAATGAATTTCACACCATCAAGGAGTTAAAACAGTTACATGAAGCAGAAGAGTTAGTTAAAGAACTGAGACAGTGGGTTAACATTAACATATGGGGAGTTAAAAGTACGTCATGTTAATAGAAAACAATCACATAACGAGTTTCTTGATAGCGAGAGTTAAAAATTATATTAACAGACAAGAGGAATTAAATTTGTATCAGATGATCTGAATTTGGACACATCTTAATCCAGGACTGGAGTGTTTTGTGCACAGCTATAAACAAAAAATTTGACTTCTCACGTGCAGACTGCACTTTGCCTACATGGCAGATGCACTCTGACCTCTAAGAAACAATATACACATTGACCAAAACATTTGTCAAGATTCGGTTTCCAGGATGCAGACAGGTACTAATCAACATGAGCCTCAATCCTGGTTCACCGCTTTATTCAAACACATTGCTTGGATACAAAGAAAGGGTGTAATACTGCAAATTTCCTAAACTTTTAAGCCCCAGAATATGTGTATTAAACTCAGAAACTTATCTCTGACAGGGCAACAAACAAAATATGGAAGAAGCTGGTTACCTGGTTTCCACTGATTCACATAAAGTTTACCTATTAACAGTGAAAGGTATAGGATATTTCATGACTGAGCTTATAATCTGGCTAACTTAACTGTTCCTTCAGGAGTGTGAAAGGGAATGTCATCCAGGAAATATTTGGCACATAATTGTTCTGTCTTTTTTTCTTCACATTCACCAGCTGTAAACTCCGCAAAGTTCTGGTTTTTGTGTCTATATCCGCACTTCTTGTCTTGTTCCAGAAATTGGAGTTTTTGTGTGCCCATCAGTTTTACAGACTTGGTTTTTTTTTTTTTTTTTTAATCGATCACCGGCTGTGAATTCCAGTGGAAGGTCCCGGTTAATCGTCCGCTTGGACTTTTGGTTTTCACCTGGACCTGATTTTTGCGTGTACAACCGTTTTTCATTTCCCTGCCTCATGGGCAGCTGTACTCCGACTTCGAAGGAGCAGACTTGGTTTAATTATATGCATGATGTTACTTCCTCGCTTCTCAGGCATATGCACTTTGGCTTTGAGAGAAACCCTTAAAAAGTCTAACAAATTGTTAAGGAGACACCGGATCTGCCCCCCCCCTTTTCCATAATGGGGTCTCAGAATCCACACAGGGGATGACAAGAATTAAACAGGAGATAAGTTGAGTGAACACTTTAGCATGTTTCATTAAACTGTTTAAACCAGAAATGAATTTGACTCAAATGTTTAACACAAAATACATTATCTACTTACAACAATGACAAAAGAGAAATACATTATCTACTTACAACAATGCCAAAAGAGAAATACATGATCTACTTACAACAATGACAAAAGAGAATACATTATCTACTTACAACAATGAAAAGAGAAATACATTATCTACTTACAACAATGACAGAAATACATTATCTACTTACAACAATGACAAAAGAGAAATACATTATCTACTTACAACAATGACAAAAGAGAAATACATAACTACTTACAACAATGACAAAAGAGAAATACATATCTACTTACAACAATGACAAAAGAGAATACATATCTACTTACAACAATGACAAAAGAGAAATACATTACTTACAACAATGACAAAAGAGAAATACATATCTACTTACAACAATGACAAAAGAGAAGTCCTCCTCAACCCTGTCAAGAGGCTCTCTAAAGTAAAGCACACAGATATACATTAGATAACCATTTCACTGTAGTTAATTAAAATACAAGAGGACATTTATGACAAGCAATTTTTTTTCTCTCTGTGTTTCTGTACACAGATGTAACTCACAAATTGCCTTTGGTTTTCTGGTTGGGCCAGCTTAAAACGAGCACCAGGTTATGTCCTGGGAAGTAGAGGTCCCCACAGGGATTTTCACGTTCACAGGCTGTAAACTCCGGCAGAAAGTTCTGGCTGTTCGCCCACTTCTGGACTACCTGAGTGTTGTGTGCACTTCGATGGAAGCTTCCAATTAGTCGACTCCTATGGCATTCTTTTGTGCAGGCAGTGGGTCTATTCTTGTTGCCTCATAATGGGGCCCAAAAACATACGCAGTGAAAACTTGAGTGATATTGACCACCTACCCCCCTCCCTCTCGAATGCCAGGTGGTTTTAATAATTTGAGCCTAGCACCATACACCTGGGTAGCCGCCATGGTGTAGTGGCTAGACACTTTGCGGATCCGAAGGTTGTGGGTCAAGGTTCCGTTAGAGCAAGACTTTTTTTAAATGACCTTGGCTCTCAGGTCCACCTTGCCTTAAATGGACAGCAGGTAAAGTGCTGGGAAGTAATGATGGCCAGCTAGAGGTCTCAGAACACACAGACAGGCGCATGACAAGGACGTAAAGTCTCATCTGACATTTTTAATTACGGTAAACAAATAAGATCTACAGATTAACCTGGGATTGTGACCACAATATAAATAATTTATGTTGATAGTCTTGAAAGCAAACCAGTCAGAAACTACAAGAATCGATATGTATACTGGATGTGAAGACCCAAAACTACTCATTACCAGAGAAGTGGGCGCAAAAAAAAAAATCATGCCCACATTAACATCATGCAGCAAGTTGTGCACACAACATGCCTGAAAGAAACTTAACCCCTTGCCAGCTTATCCGACTGATGCAGTTCAGTTTCCCCGCTCAGGATCTCTTATGTCATGTGGCCCTTCAGTGCTGGTAGACCCCAGTACCCTGCCCTGGCCAAAGCACTACAGCTTCCAAGAGAAGGCGGTGTTTATAAGCCCGTATACTTTGCAGTTCAGATTATGTAGAATTGTCAGTATTTCATTTTTTGATAGCAATAAAAAAAAATAAAAAAAACCAATACAAATTCAGTACAGATCCAGTTGACATTTCCCGGCCCATCTACAACCTGGCTGACCTTTTACTCATACTTTCTTAGACTTCTACATTGGAGGGGTGTCAGGGTGTCTTGCCTTCAATTATATCAGTGCTGATGTCACGTGATCTATGCTACAGGACGACAACTTTTAACAACCCCAGAACATCTAGAACTGGCCCTAACCCAAAAACCCCCCCCCCCCCTAACCCACAGCCCAAGCCTCACATGAGACTGAAGAAAGCAGAAGATCAGATTGAGAAAGCGTGTAGATGGGCTGGGAAACACGAACAAGTCCCAGTTACAAATACAGCAAGCAGACACTCCTTGTGATAACATTTCTTACTTTACTGGTAATTTTTTAACGGCTTGTTCCTTGACAGGCAGTGACGATTTCTGGGAGGACGTTTGATTCAAATTATTTGATGAGGACAAGTTTGATTTGGCAGCTTTTTGAACCAAACTGATCTGAGAGGTAGCTCTTTTCTTCACCTCTGTCGTTTTCTTCACCGCAGGCTTACTGACTCTCGTAGGAATTATACTTAAATTGATTTTAGCACTCGGCTTTAAGGGCCCAACAATTTTCTTCTTGTCTCCCTGCAGAGCTTTATCATTTGTTGCCTGTAAGGAGTCAATAAACATATACAATTAATAAAGTCTGTGGTTTTACAAAGTGAAATCTGCAAAGAATAATAACTTTAGAAGAAATAGGATCTTGTTTAAACAATGGATCAACATCATGGCACAAAGGTAGTTACTCATAAGTGCTTCTTTCCACTTAACTCAAGCCTGAGTCCGAAGAATCTCTGGGCAGCTCAAGAGCTCCGTAGCACCAGCGAGGATCCTGAAATACTTTGGGTAGATTTGTAACTCCAAATTTTGCCTGATCAGTGAAGCAAGGATACTCTTTTCAATTTCCAAACGCTAAGGGATTTTTTTAAAAACGTGGGCAACAATACACACGGGCCTCCGATCTTACTACCCAGAGAGCAGGGGAAATTACTAGAAGTGAACATAAAAACATCCCAGCCTTTACCAGGGCCCTCCAGCACTCGAAACCACTCAACCCTGTTTAGAAGAAATAAGGTTATTTAATTCTGAATATGCAGTACTTGATGTCAATAAAACAAATAATAGCTTCTCTAATTTCAGCAGCCAGTGATGAGTTCCAATCCCAATGATAACAGACCAGTTGTTTGATTTATGCAGAGCAAGCGATGGAGAACCACGCAGGACCTGCAGCTGACATGCGAGTTCATAGAGGCAACCCACCTGATGGTCTGATCTGAGCATACGAAACCGAACGCAAAGAAGAAGAGTTTGATTTATAAATCCATCGTGCTTTTTATCTGAATACAGTGTCCGTCAGATCCCCAGGCCAATCCTTGCTTCACTATTCTCTCCCCACAGTATTGTTTGTGCTTCCCCAAATGGGTACTTTATTTCACCCTATCTCAGGGGCTGCCAGATTTTGTAGGGAATTTCTAGGGAGTTCCTTTGACAATCCTATATTATAGGGGGATTTAAGATTAGTTGGTGTTCATTTAACACGAATCCTAAAGCCCCTATATTCTAGGGGTGCCATGTGTAGGTTGATTTTTAAAGAGTTTTTATCCTTTACTATGCCATTTCCAGTGTATTACTTTCATCCGCCAGTCGCCGTTTGAAAGTGGTGTTCTTAAGTTGTAAAATTTGCCTTGAATTTCCTTGGCCTGTCGGCTTTACAGCATCTAACCCTAACCCAACAGTATACATATAATTATATAGATACTGTCGGTCCATCCTAGGGTACTCCGCAAATATCTCAAATTCACATCCTAGTCTGTAAATTCTGGCCAAGAGAAACACTATTCGAAGTCAAACTTTACGGGTCGCTGGGTGAATTACACAACAAAGTTAAGTTCATACTAAATGCTAGGGACAAAAATTGCAGGTAAAATCTTTCAGATGAACTAAAGAAGAAGAACAAGAAACTAACTCTAACACCCCTACCCCTATAACAAAGGACTTTCCGGGGAACTCCGAGAATTCTTTACAAAATCTCACAGCCCCAGAGATAAGGTGAAATAAAAGAATAGTACCCAGCATGGTTCATTTGCTCCCAAAGGGTCTTAACATCTAGCTTGTCGTCCATCAAGTCACCACCCAGTGGTGCAGCAATAGCCAATCTGTCTGACCATTTCCCAACATGTCTACCTGCCATGACACGTAGACCTACATGTCATAATGCATACAAACATCTGATGATACTACAGATATGTGGACATTCTCTAGGCAATGTTAGCAATAACTAAGCTTATCACCATCATGTGCCCTGACGAAGGCGCTCATGCGTCTCGACAGATCACGATCCCTGGTTGCCTGGAACAGATCTCATGATATTCCTCCCTCCATGTCATTGTTTCAGCCCATCCAGCATCATCTCTCTTGGTCTGCTTCTATCACTTTTCCCACTGATCTTTCCAGTTGTCACGATGTTCTCCAATGTCTCTCTCCTCATTATGTGGCAAAAGAACAGTGTCTGTCTCTTTCTTATTATTTATAGAGAATAAGAAAGGCACACACAAAAAAAGGTATTCTTACTTTAAATATAAGGCAACACTGATCATGTAGCAGAGCATCGCTGTCACTACCTTTACCAAAAATTCACTTGACCTCTTGCTGTCAACTGTCCCACCTCATAAAATGTCTAGTGCAAGCTATTGTACCTCTGAACCCAACCTCTCTGAACCAAGAATTGAACCCAACCTCTTCATCCCTAAATTACTGTTCTTTCCACATAATTATGGGTTTAACCTGGCTGACATTCAAGTTACAAACGAACAAACTTTATTTTCAAAGGGTAAAGAATTGGGCACGCAGGCCCGTCTAACATTCTGCCCTTCCACTCCGCTTCTGGCATACAATTATTCATTTGTCCGAGCGGCAAGGAACATCCAACTGCACACAAATAAGCCAGTAAAACAGACGTACACGCAAAACTCAGGTCATGGCGCAAAGTCCAAATGGACGAACAGACATGACTTTTCGCCGGCGGACAAAGAAAAAAAGTCAGTTTTAGAACTCAGTGTAAAACAGAGATTAATTCTCTTTACATTTAGATCCTGAAAAATGAAGCAATCTTTAAATAAAATACATTAAACAGGCTTACATTTGTAATATCTCCAAAGGCAGCCCTTCTTGTCTGACCTAGGGCAGGCTTCTTCAGCTTGTCCTGAACTGGGCCTTCAATTACCTAAACAATAGTAATTAAATGTTTTTATGGTCATTATGTTTTAAGGGATTCAGTAATTTTCCAATGAAATGTTTACACATAATAAACTGCTTGTTGTAGTTCTATTTAGTGGAGGATTGAAATGTATATTAGCAGGAAGATGAGAGGTAGAGGTCACACAGCCACGGATCATAAGTTACCCCGGCGAGGTTTTATTAGGTTGGAGTGAAATAGGTTCCTAGCTAAGAACCAGCAAAGAGTGGCAAGCTGTAAATAATTCCTGAGTACTGATAGACTTATCTGAGAGGAGAGTATTTAGGTGTTATCAGAGATAATAGGATCTGGGGCTATCCCCCAAATAGCGTCCCAAATTATCAAGGCTGAAAATATACCCTAACAGGGCCTCAGCCACATGTAAATTGCGGACCTCTTTCCAGGGCCTACACAGCATACCACGAAATGCTTCCGCCAAGAGTATCTCCAGCACTGCGGGGGGACTAGATGGCTGGGACTCACAAGCAGCAGTTAGTGCATCTCCTGCAGCTTCCTTCATTTTTTTCGCTTTGAGTCCCAGCCATCTAGTTTAGCCCCATACTGCGCCGATGATGGCCGTATAGTCGCTTAAAATTGGTCCGCAATTTACATGTGACTGAGGCCTTGTTAGGGTATATTTTCGGGCTCGATAATTTGGGACCGTTATTCAGAGGATAGCCAGATCTGGTCAACTAGTTCAGAGCTAGTTAGATGGAGGTAATGGGAAGTCTTAGGGTAAAAACTGTGAAGGAATTTGTGCTGTACAAGGGAATGCATTACCAGGGTAGAACATGATGTAATTATAAGACAGTTGAATTCTGGGGATAGTTGAGTTTGTTTTTCTTTATGAGGATATAATAGTTACATTCCTCTTAGTGAGGTTTGCGTTTTACTGCAGTCTGTGGGAGACAGTTTGTCTTAGTTTGTGAAGATAGGAGTCCACTGAGTGAAGGTTATAATTGTTAAGATCGCCAGTGCAGATAATAGAGACTTGGCGTACGTACATATGTTCATTATCATCATCTTGTGACGTGTACTTATGTGAATGATATTAAAGTTTATGTGGCTTGTCACAAGTCGTATCGTTGACTCTCCGAGACAGTCAGTGGTACTTGCTAGTGTTGGGCCCACTGTGCCCAGGTGATAAATTATGCAGAACTGCAAGTATTGGCAGCACATCCATCAAGGAGATATGCAGCGGCACATCAGCGCAGGCACCCTAAACCTACATTGTTTGTTTTTCAGACACAAAGAAGTATCAGTGCAGAATTTTTTTTAAGAAAGGAAATCAGTACATACAAGCTCTCCGTGTGGGTTCCAGGGCCACATTGTGGGCTAATTGGGGAGCTTCCTGCCTACCCAAAACGTAAAAGTCGACTAAGAGCTTCCTTCGAAGTCGGGCTGCATTTGCCAGAGAGGCAAGGAACCAGCAGTCTGCATATAAATGAGTCAGATCTGTAAAACTGATGCACATGCAACACTCAGGTTCTGGAGCAGGACTGCAGTTCAGAAGTGGATGAACCAGAACTTTCCACCAGAGTGAACAGCTGATGAATGCGAAGAAAAAGAGTACATACAAGTGACTCAGTCAAAATGTAATGTTCTGAAACATGGAAGACAGGCACCTTTTAATCTTTCCAGGCGACAGCGTTATTCTGCGCTATGTGGAGGCATGGGAATCACAGCCCAGTGCAATGGCGAGTGTGACTAGCAAGAACCGCCTACGTTAAGAAAGGCTTTTCACAATTATCGCACAGAATTTCAGGACCATTGTCAACATTTGTGTTAAGTCTGTCTTCTCTGATACTCGGCTCTCATTCCTTCTACAATCCTTTCTACCTTCATTCTTATTCCCCTGCTAACGTGCCCCCGCACCACAAAACACGGCCCATGGCATTTTGGTTAGTCCACCTCAGTACCTGCACTATTCATGTTTAACTTGCGCCCATCTTTATATCGTAGTAGAGGTCAGCTTCAATATCTTCAACGTCTCTAATTCACCACGGAGGATGTCCTTAGGAATTCTGCCGTCCAAGAGTGACCTGGCCATCTGAGCCTTCATAGACAGAATTAAGACAACTGTTGTTAACAGTACCTGCTCTTTCCAATACCTCAGTGTTTGTGAATAAATAGTAAATACAATGTTATGTGGTGCTACTGAAATAAAAAAGACCCTATTGATTTGAAAAGATGTCATTAACTCTGAGTCCCAGGGGGTTTAGCATCACAGGCCCAGAGGGTAGTCAAGAAAGTCATAAAATCGGCGCATCATGCGTTCATTGGGCTTCTGGGTAGGAACCTACGAACTTATGATGCATTTCTTGGGACTCAAAGAGTTAAGAAACAATTGTTTGTTCGGTTTACAAATTAGGTTTAGGACCAAAACTAAACATTCTTAACCTCTATTTAAAATTTAGTTAGGCAAACATGGTGAATGGTGGGGGAGGGAGGGAGGGGGGACAAACGCATACATACAGCACTACAAAAATAGCTATTATGATAGCAATGGGGAAAACTGACTACCAAAAAAAAAAAATGCAAAATTCAAATGATTAGCACCTGAGTTTGCTATTAGAATCTATTGTTTGAACATTTAAAAACTGGTTTTAGTTTAATTCAAATTTAATATTGCTGCATTTTACCTGTGCCTAGCATCCTCCATTTTTGTGTTCTAACAAATCAAATTAATTGTACACATTTAATGATTTATATGATTATTGTATTGCAATGTACAGAATATAATTACAATAGTGCAATGCATCTGATCTGACTTGCAAGATGATTGATTCTTCTTATTGTCATTAAATTGCAAAATTTATGGTTATCTACTAAAATTTAGTTTAGTCTAAATAATAATAAAATAAAACGCCCCTGTAACTAAGTGAAGTCCGAAAGAAAATTTGGCTCTACACGTAATTATCGGATGATAATCATGATTATCCTGACTTGGGCTTGCAAATTCCGTGGATCTGGAGAAAAGCCCGGGGCTTACCTTTCTCTTATGCCCGATCACTTGCCTCACGGGGATCGACATCTTTGACGTAATGAAATGACAAAGACGTAGTCATGCGATAAGTCAATTATGGGAGACGAACTTCCGATGCGAATATTAATTTTTGATCTGCCCGAAATAAAAAAAATAAATAAATGGACGGAAAGCAACAGCCCTGCCCTTCTTACCCCTTTTTTCAGGCCGATCGTTTGACCCACAACGGGATCCGCATTTTCCGAAAGCTTCTTCCGAGTCAACATGTTTGTATTTTCAGGACAGCTTGGCTGTTTCCTTCAAGACTGTTTGACGCAAACAACTGGCTGACTGGACTGAAGGGAAACTGACTACAATAGACAAAAGGCGAGAGTGAAATTCACTCCTGCTACATGCCGTCTGGTTCAAAATTCGCTCATGGACGGCGGGATCTGATTGGTCGCCGTCTCATAGACCAACCAATCAGAGCTGGCCTGGGTGGAACTCTTCAGTGTCTTCTTTCCCGATAAAGGTTTTAATTATTTGTTTTTGTTATAAAAATCTATCAGCAAAAAAAAAAAAAAAACTTAGAAATTAAAAACCATATATTGTAATATTTAAACTGTGTTAAAGTAATGGGGATACAAATACTGATAGACGTAATATGTTGGTGATAAGTAATCAGGGATTATACAAAAGAAAACGTGGAATTGATTTCCGGTGTCTGTATTTGTAAACAAAGTCACGCCTACCTGCATCATGGAATGTTTATTTTGGAAACACGGGGGGAGTTAAAATGTTTAAAATATATTCACGATAAAAAGTATCTTAGCTTGGACAGTGAATCGTGAGTCACAAAGGGCTTAATGTATTAAAGCCAATTTCCACTTATGAAACTTGTATTAAAAAATATATTATTCTCTACACTATCTGCTCCTTTCTCTACTCCCCCCAATCTGTATGTGCCTACTGTCAGTGAATTACAATTGTATCATTTGTGCCATTTAATCCTTCTTTTCTGCTCATGGACAAATTAATTAATGTTTATGTTTATTAGTAAGTGGTTTGGTCATTCTCCGTGTTTTATCAGCTCTGGGAAGCAATACTGATTTGATGTTAGTGCTAAATATTTGAAGTTTGGCACAAGATTGAAATGTCTTAGAATTCCGCAAACTATTTTTAGTGCAATGGAAGCAATTCTTGCCTTTTTCTTTCTCTCTTTTTAAAATAGTAGAATAGGAAGACTTTTTGCAGATTTATTGACTATTCCATTTGCTACATTCAGCAAAAGAGGAGGATTTACATATACATTATATAACATAGCAATTGCAGAATGTCACTCTCATGCTATCAGTAGTGTGATTCTCACCTGTTTACTCGTTTTCCTTGCCTCTTTATTTCAGTGTTTAAAAGGAGTCTTGAATATTCTGAATCTACTAGACATGGCCAGCCTTCCTCTGTTTTGCCTTTCACAAGCTATGTCTTAATTTTTTTTTTCTTTAACAGCTATGCATTTTAGTGTGAGCAAATATGTTACTGTCTGAGACACCATGCTATTTGTCAGTTGATTTAAAAAAAATAATGACTTTTTAGAATGTGTGTGTTGTGTTTAAATTTCCTTGCTAGAAATATGGTTAATATAAGATTGCTAGTGGGTGAAGATCTGACTGTTAATATATATGTTTAAGATCAGACTGTTGGTAAATGTGGCTAAGATTTGACTGTTAGTGGGTGTGGTTAAGATCAGACTATTAATGGGTGTAGGTAAGATCAGCTAGCTAGTGGGTGTGGTTAATATCAGACTGCTAGTGGGTGTGGTTAAGATCAGACTATTAATGGGTGTGGTTAATATAAGCTTGCTAGTGGGTGTGGTTAATATCAGACTGCTAGTGGGTGTGAGTAATATCAGACTGCTAGTGGGTGTGGTTAATATCAGACTGCTAGTGGGTGTGAGTAATATCAGACTGCTAGTGGGTGTGGTTAATATCAGACTGCTAGTGGGTGTGAGTAATATCAGACTGCTAGTGGGTGTGGTTAATATCAGACTGCTAGTGGGTGTGGGTAATATCAGACTGCTAGTGGGTGTGGGTAATATCAGACTGCTAGTGGGTGTGGGTAATATCAGACTGCTAGTGGGTGTGGGTAATATCAGACTGCTAGTGGGTGTGGGTAATATCAGACTGCTAGTGGGTGTGGGTAATATCAGACTGCTAGTGGGTGTGAGTAATATCAGACTGCTAGTGGGTGTGGGTAATATCAGACTGCTAGTGGGTGTGGGTAATATCAGACTGCTAGTGGGTGTGGGTAATATCAGACTGCTAGTGGGTGTGGGTAATATCAGACTGCTAGTGGGTGTGGTTAATATCAGACTGCTAGTGGGTATGGTTAATATCAGACTGCTAGTGGGTGTGGGAAATATCAGACTGCTAGTGGGTGTGGGAAATATCAGACTGCTAGTGGGTGTGGTTAATATCAGACTGCTAGTGGGTGTGGGTAATATCAGACTGCTAGTGGGTGTGGGTAATATCAGACTGCTAGTGGGTGTGGGAAATATCAGACTGCTAGTGGGTGTGAGTAATATCAGACTGCTAGTGGGTGTGGGTAATATCAGACTGCTAGTGGGTGTGGTTAAGATCATACTGCCAGTGGGTGTGTTTGACATACTTCTTGCAGGTTTGATTAAGAACATACTGTTAGTGGGTGTGGTTAAGATTTTACACTAAGTATTTAAGGTGAAGACTATAATGCTAGTTGGTGTTATTAAGGTTATACTGCTAGATCTGATTGATAGTACACTGTGTATATGTGCTTAACAGGTTTGGGTATAGTTACATTACTAATAGTCTTCTTAACTACTAGTAGGCTTCTTTTCATCATGGTCTGCCTGAAAGAAACTCGGTCCCTGACCAGCTCTCCTGCTTGGTGTACTTTCATATTCAAGAAGTCACTTATATCCTGTGTCAATCTTTGTGTTGAATACATGAGTACTGGGATAATATTTTCTGAGCAGGAAAAAAAGTGCAGTAACAGCCTGGTTACTCCACCTCATAGTATTACTTAGAATATATGCAGCTCACACTCACACCCCTATGGCACCATCGATTATGAATGAATGCATGTATTTGTCTTGTGTTTGTACTTACCTCTTTCTGTTCAAGTGGTTCACTAAACATTTATTTGTTAGCCCACAGAAAATCTACTATATGTGTTTTATTTTTTGTTATATATTTTCGGACCTGTTCACATTTTCTGGCCCAAAATTAGAGTACCTTTCCATGTCATTCATGCCTCCTTAGGTCGCTGGACCTCTCCTATGTTGCTGGGATGTTATGGTATGGCTTGGTTTGGCATTTGCTTTGCATATTTAATGTTTTTGGAAGGTTGTGTTGGCCCCAACAATTCTTGCCTCTCAAAACTGTGATGTTTTTGTATTCCTATGTTCGTTAGTGGTGCAGAGATCACAGCCTAGACATAAACAAAAAAATATCACATACTTTTTTAATGGCGAACACAGAAGAGAAAAGAAGAAGAGAGCTAGCTTTACATCTTCTGTTTCCGCAGTACCTGTCCAAATCCAGTCATTGTAAGCTTTAAAGTATTGGGTCGGTGGGTGCATGTGTGTGTGTCTGTGTGCATGCATATGTGTGTATGTATGTATGTATTTATGTGTGTGTGTGTGTGTGTGTGTTTATAATAATACAGTTGCTGTGTGAATGATGAGTGTTTGGAAGGGCTGAATGTAAGATAGACCTTCACACCAGATTTGTGACCCTTTCTTCTTCTTCTTCACATTTACCAGCTGTAACTCTGGTGGAAAGTTCTGGTTGTTCATCCACTTTTGGACTGCAGTCCTGTTCCAGAACCTGAGTGTTGCGTGTGCAGTTTTACATATCTGACTCATTTATGTGCAGACTGCTGGTTCCTTGCCTCTCAGGCAGATGTACTCCGACTTTGAAGGAAGCTCCCAATTAGCCGACTCTTACGACATGCTTTTGGGTAGGCAGTGGGTCTATTCCCCCCCCCCCCCCACCCACCCACCCACCACAATAGGGCCCCAGAACCCACACAGGGATTTGTGACCCTGAATATAAAGTTTGTTCATTTATTCTTCAGTGCCATTACCTTTTTTGATCCTTTTGTTTCAGACAACAAGCTGTCACAGTCACTGATATATATCTTGTTTAAATACTTTACAGATCATCATACCAGCATCCATGTTTAAAGAATCTTGCACACAATGGTAACATTTTGTTATGCTGATTCTTATATTTTCAATGATTGAAAATGCACTTTTATTTGAGCTGCTTCTTCTTCTTCTTTTTTTTCTTCTTTTTTTTTCTTCTTCTTCTTCTTCTTCTTCTTCTTCTTCTTCTTCTTCTTCTTCTTCTTCTTCTTCTTCTTCTTCTTCTTCTTCTTCTTCTTCTTCTTCTTCTTCTTCTCTTCCTGCTCTTTCTCTTCTTCTTCTTCTTCTGTTTTTTTCCTTCCTTTTCTGCATTCACCCTTATAATGGTGGTTAGTATGTTGTGTTATGGTTAACAACTAACCTGCGATATCTACACCTTTCAGACCAAAACATTCAATTTCTGCAAACCCTTAATTAGTTGCCTTTTGTGACATGCTTGTCTTAAACCCCCCCCCCCCCTTTTCCCCCTTTCTGCACGGTACGACTTCTATCTTGTAGTGAATGACTCTTTTAACTCAAACATTTGCTACTAACCCTCTTTCTGTCGCTGACACTTGTTACATCATTTTCTTCTCACTCAAATACATGTAGTTCTAAGTAGTAACAACATGGGGCAAAGAGAAAGTTACAAATACATGTAGTTCTAAGTAGTAACAACATGGGGCAAAGAGAAAGTTAAAAATACGTGTAGTTCTAAGTAGTAACAACATGGGGCAAAGAAAAAGTTAAAAATACATGTAGTTCTAAGTAGTAACAACATAGGGCAAAGAGAAAGTTAAAAATACATGTAGTTCTAAGTAGTAACAACATGGGGCAAAGAGAAAGTTAAAAATACATGTAGTTCTAAGTAGTAACAACATGGGGCAAAGAGAAAGTTAAAAATACATGTAGGTCTAAGTAGTAACAACATGGGGCAAAGAGAAAGTTAAAAATACATGTAGTTCTAAGTAGTAACAACATGGGGCAAAGAGAAAGTTAAAAATACATGTAGTTCTAAGTAGTAACAACATGGGGCAAAGAGAAAGTTAAAAATGCATGTAGTTCTAAGTAGTAACTTCTTCTTCTTCTTCTTCTTCGCGTTCACCAGCTGTAAACTCTGGCGGA